ATTTGTATGACATATCAGCCTAGAACTTAGAGAATATGACTCAAAATGGGCTTCTTTGGGTGTCACCTGTCTTCTGTTCTCTTTTGGGGCTACTGAGCTTTGGCATTTCAACAGTAATGTTGAGAAACACACAATGAAGTGAAGGTGGTAATTGTGTAACCTAGAAATAATCTTTAAAGTTTAAGTGACTAAAATCCTCTCAAGAAATAGACTAAGGAAAAAAGTTTCAATATATGAATGATCACAGCCATTAAAACATAGATTGAGATTTAGGACAGGAAATACTGAGAACTGGTGGAGGGGCAGGCACAGAAGTGGATTGGCTCATTGGAGGCGAGGAAAGCTGGGCAGCAGTGACTTATAGATTGAGGACCCTCCGCTGAGGTCAGCTTGCTTGAGTGATGTAAAGTGTAGACTCTGTGATCGATTCATCTGACAGTGCAGTTGTGAATTTTGTAATGTTTGTGTTCAAAACCACAAAACTAGTAGAGCATGTTAAGGGATGATGGAGCATGTCAGTAAGTAGACTAAGTCTTTAGACAAGTACCCAGGAACTGCCGACATACTCTATTTAATTGTGATATATTGAAATTGCTATGTTGGAATCAACTTCCCACACACCTGAAATGTGCTATTTCTATCTGCCAATGTCTTAGTCATTGCCTTCTTTAATATTTTGATAAGGAAATTTTGTGATGGATTGTGATTGTGTGATGTTAACATTTTAGCTTTCAGCACTACATTTAGTTACTCTTAAGTTGAGTGGTTTTGTTTTTTTAGTATTTTTGATGTGTGATTAAGGTGGATCATACAATGTATAGATTCTTGGTCTGGAGAAAAAGTAGTTTACCTACCATTGCTTTCAAACTAAATTGCAACTTTAATTGATGAATCAAAAATGCTGGATCTTAATCATAATTTTATCATAATTTTAATCCTAATCCTTGTCTTGACTTATTTGTCCTAGTTGAAACATTCTTAGAGGTTTCTTTGTGAAAGATGTGTCCATATATGCGTGTGTACTACATGTTCATATGTGACAGTCAGGGAAAAGGTGCTCTTCCTCATTCCTGCTCCACCTATTTAAGACAGTCGAGGCTGTTTCCCTGGTGAGTGCCAGGGTCTGCCTGTCGCTACCTCTCTGTTACTAGAACCACAGATGCAGTGTTACATGCTGAGTTTCCATGAGTGCTGGGGCTCCACACTCTGGTCCTCATCCTTGTGCATTAAGCACCTTTGTCAACGGAGCTGTCTCACCAGCTGTGCTTACAGTTTTCTAAAGAAACTTAGGTAGAAGATACATGGTAATTGGTATGTCCTCATTTTCCTAATCTCTGTGTGTGTGTGCAGAATGTGTTTATGGATCCTAATGCTTTGGTTCGTAGTTGGTTATTTTGCCTCTGGATACATAATGAGTAGAGTAGTATGACTTACCAGTGTCTCCATGGGCTCTAGGGAATAGAGTTAATAGGGAGTACAGAAGTAATATAGTTTGTATATAGGGCCACTGTCTACTGGTTTGTTTTCATTCTGTATAAAATAGCAGCATGTGGTTATTATGATAAATGGAAAGTACATACTACATGGAAAACTATGGTGGCTACATAACATTTGTATTTTCTCAAAATGCTAAGCAAATTGGCATTGAAACCCTGGTGTATATAATTCCTATAGGCTTTATATAAGTTATTTTTTTAAAAAAGCTGATCAATGTGAAAATATTTTAACTATGGGAGAGTGGCCAACCTGTAATCAAATATATGCAAGCTAGAGTCACAGTAATGTTCCTTATTCACAAACATCAGGAATCTTTAAGTATCCAAAACTAAGCTAGCAGTGAGAACTGACATAATTGCTAGTGTTATACCTCAGCCTGTGCCTTTACTTCTTTGGAAAGCTGTGTCATGTTGTATATTGGAGCCATGGAAATTACCCAACTAGGAGCCCGCATTTGAAGGTCTTTCTTAAAGAAATAAACAGCATTATTTAAAAATACAGTGTACTAAAAAAAAGTACTGTGTACTCATAAAGACAGAATTTTGTGTCTAAATTCCCAATACTGGACTGACTAAGCTAGAATGGGAATAATACTTCCTGTGTCATTATACATTATTCAACAATAAATACACTGAGGGTGGGAATGGTTTTCTTTAATACAACACAAGTTGTGAGCTGAAAAGAGATTTTGTGTCTAGAACTGATAAGAGGTTTTGTTTTCTTGCGGTTCAGTACCCAGGGGCAGGTATCTAAGCACTGAGCTACACTGTTTTTAACTTTTTTTAAAAAAATCCACAAGAAACATAGCTGAAAGTTAATTATTGTGAGTATATCTATTGGTAGTTTATTTCAAATGAAGTGTTATTTTAGCTTCTGCTAATTTCTGTTACTAAGGAAGACTTTTATCCATCTCATTTCTAATGTGATCCATAATACTGATTAACTATGCCATATATAATTATGCATCAGTGGAAATCTATCTCAAAATCAGTGTGTACTCAACAAGGAGTTCAGAGGTAGCCAAACTAAGTTTAGCTTGACCTGTGAATTATGTGATCTCATTTTGATTCTGCTCCCCTCTGTTCATCTCTGCTGAAAAGGCTTTCCTCCCGAAAACTACCGCATCTCCTATCTAGCTAATGCACCGACAGCACATTTGTCTTGGACTTTGAGAAGTCTTGAGAGTTGTGATAGATTGGCCATCCCCGGGACATGTACCCACTCTAAAACCTTCTCTCCAAGACATGTTGTTCTTGATTTTATCACAACCTTAGATTTTGCCTTTAGGTCCAAAATTGTACATTTAGCTTTTTTAAAAATGTATTTTATGTGAATGTATGTGTACCTGCGTGTATGTCTGTGTGTGTATGCACATATGTGTATCCCAGGAGGCCATAAAAGGGTGTTAAATCTCCCGAAGTCGTCATTACAGGCCATTGTGAGCTGCCCAACATGAATGCCGGGAACCAAACCAAAGTCTTTTACAAGAGCAAATGCTCTTAACTGCTGAGTCATCTCTTTAGCCACTCGATTTACATGTATGTTTTAAACAGTCTTCTTTGATTTTAATACTTAATTTTCTTATACTCATGAAATTCCTTAGATTTTCTTTTTTTTTCCAGATCTGGGGATCAAATCCATGGAAACACTGTACTGACTGAGCTATATATATGACTTCGGCCCCATCTACTGAAATTTTATAAAGAACTTTTATTGTGACATAGGGACTGCTACATGATATAGCTGTTTCAAAAACTATTTTTAATAGTGTGATCTGCAAGCTACATTTTAATTCAAATGGCAATATGTTTGATTTTTTAGAAGGAAGTAGTCCTCTGTCGCTTTAGAAACAAGCTTTAGATTAGAAACAGCTTAGAAGATCTCTGCCTATCACTTCATGCACACATGGCTTTGTTTTCCACAGACCTAACTTTGTTTCACACTTAAAGATGTCAGAAAACCTTACAAGTAGTTTTGTGGGGCATCCTTTAGAATAATTCTCTTCAGCTGGTACACGCCTTTAATCTTAGCCCTCTTGAACCTGAGGCAGAAAGATCCAAGAGTTCAAGCCAGCTCAAACTATAAAGTGCGATATTATCTCTAAATAAATAACTTAAAAATAAAATAAAGTAGGTGATTTAAATTCCTGTTCCACAAGGAAGTCCTGAATTACATTTATGCAGGACTCTGTGCTTGCTGCTTGGAGGAAGGAAGGGGGTTCTAATTGTATGCATTCGCGAAATGCTGAGCTAGACAGTAGTGCTGGTTGAGTAGGGCTTTTAGAGTTACATTCTGTTCTTGGTGCGCGTGCCCAAGGAGGCCGAAGAGAGCATTGGGTCCCCTGGAGCTAGGGTAATAGGCAGTTGTGAGCCACGTCATGTGGGTGCTAGAAATGGAACTTGGATCCCCCAAAGAACAGTATGCTAACTGCTAAGCCAACTTTCCAGTTCAGTGGAGTTGACTGTTAAGTGTGTATTCTGTAAAAGTCAAGGATGTAGTCGGTACACTGTGATTCACCACTAAACCCCTTTTTCAAGAGTAGAATGTTGGCTGGCAAGGCTCAGGAAGTGTTGCCTTACCATTTCTCTGCCTGGATCTTGTTCCAGTTTCTGACAAGACCGGTTAAGTGGCTTGAGATGAGCATTGCTCAGAAATGTCACAGTTTTTTTTTCCTTTTTTTTATTTTTATTTTTTTACAACTTTCCTTATCCCGTGTGATGGCAAAGTGTTCATTATGGTTAGTTTAGAGTCTGTCTTGGTAGTGCATGCCTTTACTACTTGGGAGGCAGAGGCAGGCAGATCTCTGTGAATTCAAGGACAGCCTGGTCTACAGAGTGAGTCCCGGGACATCCAGGGCTAAACAGAAAAACCCTGTCTTGTAAAACAGAAAGCAAACACACACACACACACACACGAGAGAGAGAGAGAGAGAGAGAGAGAGAGAGAGAGAGAGAGAGAGAGAGAGAGAGAGAAGAAAGTCCGTCTTGTAGCCTTGGTTAAATAGATGATCCCATCTTGCTCCCAAGGTAGATTGCAACAAGAAGTGAGTGAGTGCAGCCTTGAAAATTGAGACCAAAAGTTAAAAATCAGTTTGTGTTCATGAAAGTTAGGTGGGTTAGGCCCTTGAATTTCAGTGCAGCCCTACATCTGCATGACGGATTGCTTCCACATAAACAGCTGACTAAACAAGTTCTCTTGTCTGATGAAGTTAGAATTCGTCAAGTAGTTAAAGAATGGTTATAAAAACCTGTTGTCCTTGTCACATATTTAATATATTGAGCTGTATTTGACTTAAGGCTGGTTTGGAAACATTTAGTAACATCAGCACATATGTTAGATAAGTAGGAGGGAAGGGCCTATATATATATGATTCTATTAAAGTTTCTAAGATTACTTAGGTATACATTTAAAGAATCTAAGACATAGATAGTAGTTTTCCCATGAATGGAGAGATTCTGCAGTTTTCCTGTAGAATTTTTGTTGTTGATTTTATATTCTCATGAAAATCCTTGTCCTCAAAGTTAGAAGTGTCAGTCGCGATTTTCAAAACCACCTTCGTTTCTTCTGAGACAAATAATCATGTCTTTCTCTTTTCTTCTGTAGATTTAGCTTTGGAATCAAATCCTTCTGACCACCCCAGGGCAAGCACAATTTTCCTCAGCAAGTCTCAGACAGATGGTAAGACACTTTTCCCCACTGAGGAAAGCCTGAAAACTGTTTCTATTCAGTATGATACATTATTGGAAATCTTTCTTGGAATTTATATACTGACTTAAACTCTTAATGTATTTGATATGTGATGATATGCTTTGCTCTGACATCACTCTTTTAGGGACAGCCTGCGGATTTTATAGATACGTGATTTAGAAGTGGCATGGATTTACAGCTGTCTGCCTCTTTCCTTCTCTTCCTTAATCCAGTAGTGTGTTTTAAAGACAAATGATACAGTTTAGGGTTCTGTTAGATTTTTAGGTGAAACGTCAAAACAAATGTGTTATATATGGTCATTTTGACCCATTTCATATAGTGTCACACCTCTGTAAGCCTGTGTCACACTCAGATTTATGTGACTCAAAATTTTCAGGCTATTTAAAAACCTCTTTATCTTGTTGCAGCAGAACTTAGAGCAAACATGTCCTAATGTTTCCTAGAAGGTTTGCTGGCATGTGGGTTTTCTATTTTGCTTGCTTTAGGTTTAGAGTCTGAACTGTGGGATTTCTCCATACTATTTTCTGTAATATTTGGTTAACATCACTCCCATTTAAAAAAAAAAGAGTTAAGTAACTTTTTCTGTTGATTATGGAAGTATGAATATGAGAAGTGAGGATTCTACAATAATACTAGGGATAATGCAAGTATGCAGCCCGGTTTAAGAAGGGGGTGGTGGAGCGTCTAGCCTGCTTTTCATAGCTTGTCGAATCTGCCTGTCTTGAACTATTGGTTCTGGTTAGTAATGCCGTATCTCTCAGTGCATATGTGAAAGCTATCTTAACTGAGAGGTGGCAGTGTCCACCTTTAGTCTCAGCACTCAGGAGGTAGAGACAGGCAGATCTCTGTGAGTTCCAAGACAGCCTGGTCTACAGAGCAAGTTCCAGGACAGCCAGGGCAACACAGAAAAACCCTAAAAAAAAACCAAAATAAAATAAAAGCTATCTGTACCTGCCCCCCCGTTAGTGGGAAGGAGTATGTGTCTTAGAGTCCAGTCTAGTGTTCACAGAGGAGACTGTGGGGAAATAGTGTGACCAAAGCTCTTCCTGGAATGTGTGTACTGTAGATGTCCTGCTTTGTAAGGTAGGCTTAGTGCTAGATGTATGACAGATTTTTTTATTAGCTGGATCTCTCACCTGCCCTAATGTAGTTTGTCATTTTCTTTTGTATATGAAAATTCTCGTTTGTGCCTACTACATTATCTACTAGGTTAAAAATAAAATTTAGTTTTTCTATGTACTTTATGCAGTTTATTTTGACAAATTTATTTTGTTAGAACTATTTTTTTTAAAGTAGAGTTGAATTTTATCTGACTTTGCATGTTGGTAGTCCATCAGATAAGTAACAGCTACTTTTATTTTTCCGTGGCATTTGTATCAGAATTGATCAGTTAATTTTTTTTATTCTTAGTGCGTGAAAAGAGGAAGAGCAACCATTTAAACCATGTAAGTAAATAGTTGGAAACTTAAGAAATTAGTATTTGAATTTAAAATATGTCTTCAGTGATATAGTGGGGATGCAGTGCTGTTAGTGTAGACTTTCTGTACATGTTCTAAAATCTGCTCTCAGATAATAAATTTACTTAGGGAAGTCTGACTTAATACCATTTTTTATTTTACTTACTCATAGTTACATAACATGGTTATCATACAGAGACATCCTGAAATTTTTTTCCTTTTTATCCTGATTTCTTTAAGATGTACTTATTATTTATGTGTATGTGTGTGTGCCTAAAAGAGTTTATGTGTACTTTATAGGTATAGGTGCCTTCAGAGATCCAAAGAGGGAATCAGATCTCATGTAAACGGAGTTAAAGGTGGCTGTGAGCCGCCCGATATGAATGCTGGGAACCGAGCCTGGGTTCTCTGCAAGCCGATAAGAGCTCTGAGCTGCTGAGCTCTGAGCTGCTGAGCGGTCTCCTCTGCCCCTTAGTCTAATTTGTAATTGAAGTAACAAACCATTTTTGCTACTATGTTGATTTCCCATCATAATAGGTAACAGTTGTTTTCCATTGTGACCATTATTTCCCTCTTCCATTTCCTCAACATATATCTTAGTTTTTGTTAAATCCATAAGTCAGTGTTTTCACTATGACTGTGCACATTGTTAACTGCTGGGCCATGTAGTATTGTGATTGTGTTGCCTCCCTCCTTCCACACCTTAATTTTTTCTCTTTCGTGGCTTTGAATCTGGATTCTTCATGCCCTCTTGGTGAATCCCTTTTTCTGGTCCTTTTTCTAGCTCACCCAACCAACTTCAGTGTGCAGCCCTGACTGGTCTCCCAGCTTCACATTCTTCCTTTGGTGTATAGAATTCATTTCCAGACCATTTCACTTGCCCATTTCTAACAGGCATATTTTTTTTAACCCCAAATGTTGTCAAATTTGTCACATGCCTATCAAAAATATTTCCCATCTCCTAAAATGCATGTGTTCTAGTTTTCTCATGTGGGCACACCTTCACAGCCTCTGCCATCCTCTGTCAATGAGGCTGGGTTTTGTTGAGGCTTTTTTTTTTCTTTTTTCTTTTTCTTTTTTTTTTTTTTTGGCTATGGCTTTTAAGTTACTGGGATCTCACATAACTGCTCTCTTGTATTGGTTCCTCAATGTCCTGGATTCTGTGTTTCCCTTTGTCTTCTTACACTGTACTAGAACACCTTTTCTTGAGAAGAAACACATAGTACTTGTAGTGATCTGGCCTGGGAATCTCTCCTATAGATGGAGTTTAGGTTGAAACTAATTTCCACCGTTCTCAGGATACTTTTCTGTTATAATCTCAAGAACATAGTGATTCTGGGTTTTTTTATTTATATATTTTATTTTGTATGACTCCTGATCCTCCTGTCTTCCTCTCTGGGATGTTGGGATTGTAGACATACACCACCATACTCAGTTTAATTTTCATCTTTTAATATTAAAAATTCTGTTAGTCCTGTTTCCTGCATCTTGATAGAAACTCATTTATTTAATTCAAATGAAATATCATAAAGAAATAAGTTTGTGGTCAGTCCATGATGTTTAAATGAATTTAGAATCCATAGATAGAGGCTGGAGAGAAGGCTCACTGGTTAAGAGTGCTTCCTTCTCTTTCTGAGGACCAGCGTTTGGTTTCCAGCACTAATATGGTGGCTCACAACCATCCACAGCTTCAGTTTCAGGGGATCTGAGGCCTCTTCTGACCTCTGCAGGCACTAAGCATGCACGTGGTGCACATGCATACATGTGCTGACTGAATAATGATACATGTTATTCTTTGTCTCTGTTTTAGGAATGACCTATTAGTGCTTTTGCTGCTTTTTTTTTTTTTTTAAAAAAAAACCATTTTGCAGGCTTAGGTTTATTAGTGTAGTTTATGGAAGTTATAAGACAGCAAAAGTAATAACTACAATTATTAAGTTTCCAGACACTATCCAGACAAAGCTCCCTTTACAGTGATGTTACAGGCATTACTCAGAGATTTACTTCTGCCATTGTCTAGTTCCCAGATGGAAAAGTTTGAATAGCTGGACAGGAGTGCTATGTCCCCTGCTGTGTATTGGTCAGTGGTAACTGGGAGTGTGGCCTGAAGAGGGCAGCAGCGGTGAGCAGAAGTGTCTGCTCTTTTGAGTTGAATAGAGGAGCCTGTCTTTATCCGGAGTTCAGAGTCTGACCTGATGGGGGCAGTGTTTGGTGTTTCTAGCCAGTAAGTTGCTGATTTGTTAAGTGAGCTCCTAAGAGACTAGGGTTAGACTGAATCTAATTAAATGTTTTAGTATTCCAAAGACAAGCCAGTATACATGCATGATTAGAAACCATGTATATGGAGGAAGATGGGATGAAGCATCACCAGAAGGTCTATATTTTATTTTGACTTCATTTTTATTCCCTTCTAAGTTTTTTGTCAAAATTAATTGTTAACACCTCAAGTGGAAAATTCCACAGCTGAACTCATGAGATGAAGTGGCAAACAGCAAAAACTGACAAAGTTACCTTTAGACTGTTGGTGTGAGTGAGGAGTACAGACAGAAGTGTCTGTGCTGAGACTTGGGTCCCCTCCCCAGGAAATCCATACATATATGTATATATATGTGTACACATATATGTGTGTGGATGCATACATACATACATACATGTCAGTATTCCAAAACCCACTATCTTAGTTCGGGTTTCTTTTGCGGTGATGAAATACTATGACTAAAAGCAACCTGGGAAGGAACGGGTTTGTTTTGCCTGTCATCATGGAGGGACTTTAGGGCAGGAATGGGGCGGGGGGTGGGGGAGCAGGAAGTGTTGCAGGAAGCTATGGAGAAGTGCTACTTACTTGCTTGCTCTCCATGGCTTGCTCAGCCTGCTTTCCTATAGCACACAGGACTGGCAGCCCAGATATGTACCACCCACAGTGAGCCAGACCCTTTTCTCATCAATCATCAGTCAAGAAAATGCACCACAGGTTTGCCAGTCTAGTGGGGATGTTTTTCAGCTGAGCTTCCCTCTTCCAAAACCACTCTAGCTTGTATCAAGTTCACAAAAAAACACTAGCCAACACACAGTATTTTCTGTCCCAAGGAATTTTGATTTGAGATCTTCAGCCTATAATAGTGACCCTAAAAGGTATCTTCCATTGGAATAAAAGCATTTCAATGAAAACCAGTTTCCTTTTTCATGTTGTATTTACCTTTTGGGCTTATAAAACTATGTACACACAGGTAATAAAAAGTGCACATAGTAGCTGAATAGCTTAAGAAACATCACAGCTTTAGATATAATTGAAACAGTTCTGGCTGGCTGGAGAGATGGCTCAGGTTCAGAGCACAGGCTGTTCTTCTAAAGGTCCTGAGTTCAATTCCCAGCATTCACATGGTGGCTCACAACCATCTGTAATGAGATCTGGTGCCCTCTTCTGGCCTGCAGGCAGAACACTGTATATATAATTTTTAAAATCTTTAAAAAAAAAGGAAAGAAAGAAAACCACTTGTAGCTTGAAAAGAGTCTCTAAAACAGTAAAATAGTCCTTCTCAGAGCAACCCGGGCACCGTGACAGGAAGCAGGTGCCTTTAGAAGGAGACAGAACCCGTTGTATCTACCATGCGGGCATTACTGATTGTGAGCTTCTAGTAGTTTTCCATGTTCTGTCCTTTCAACTGTGTCTTTTGCCTGCCCTGTTTTCCATGCGTTTATGAGAAAGTACTGATGGGCAAAGTGGTAGTATTGATAGAAATGGTTAATTATAGGAGGAAAGGAAGGCGCATCTGAATTAGTGCTTTTTTGTTGTTTTTTTTTAAGAATGCTAAGTTTTTGGTATTCTGTTTTAAAGAATGTTGCTGTTGATCTTCATTCAGTGACACTATTTGACCATGGACTATATGGGTCTTAACATACTTAGGCTGTTCCATTGTCTGATATGGCTGTATTCTTGCAAATGAATGGATACTTCTAAAGTGTTTTAAAGAGAGTTGATAGGGCTCAAAGAGTCGTCGTCTTCCCAGTGACACAGTAGGTAGTTCTTCACCAGTTTATGTCTGTGGTAAGATTCATCTCCCAATTTATAGTTAATTTTTCAGTTCTAGAGTTGAACCCAGGGCCTTAAGTTTACAGCTCCAGCACTATAATTCTTAAATAATAATTCTTCAAATATTTTTACTCCATAAGCTGTTATGATTGTGTGCTCAACATTTGATAGTAGGGGCATTGAGAAGCTTAGAGTTGTATTGAGGGGGCTATCCTGCAGGCAGTTTAGGAGTACCCAAAGAGAAGCATTCTGTGGTGTGGTTGTTGGCAGAGATGTGCTAGAAGGTAGATGGGGTCCAAGGACAAAGAGGGAAAGAAGGTGTCGTGATGTGTGCTAAATAGCTGGAGGAGCATCAACACTTGAGTTCGCATTTAAGGACCATGATGGCACCGTGCTTAGATGTGAGATGAAAGCTAATGTCACCCAAGTTGCTTTTGCCTTCTGTTTCCAGATGTGAGGAAATGTTAACGCTTAAGGGAGTGGGCCCAGAGAGACTTGTGGCCCCTGGCTTGTTGGCAGGTGAGCAGCCAAGCACACCAACTCTGACTTCAGAACACTTTCAGCCACAAAGATACTTAGTGTTCACCTTGTGTTTACTATAGTATGATGATGCTCTTGAAGGCCTTGTATTTTATTAAAGTGATTGTATAGAAGTAGAAAGCTGCCTTTTGTTTAAGAAAAAAACACTGGAATCTTACTTAAAACTTTTTGTACCACTTATAAAGGAAATTGATAATAGGTACTTGCCAGGTTTGGTTTTATAGGTATCATACCAAGAGCTGCATCTTACAGCCCATTCCTCAAACGTGATCTGGGGACATTAAAAGCCTCCAGTGGTTTCCCTGCAGAGCCACACATGCTGTTACACACAGTCAGTTCATTTACTGTAAAAAATACATTAATGCTTTATCATTTGACCTTTTAACCAAGGAAAAAGAGCACATTTTATAGATTTAACTTACTGTGACATTCTCTTCTATTTCCCTTCCCCTTCAGGTATCTCCAGGGCACCTTACTAAAAAGTATAGCTCATGCTCAACAATATTTCTAGATGACAGCACAGTCAGCCAGCCTAACCTTAGAACCACAATAAAATGGTGAGTACAACTAGGCTACCAAGCACTGAGCGACAGACCCTCTGCTAAAAGCATCCCAGCCATTTTTGGTATTTCAGTCATTTGATTATCTATTAAGCACCCAGTTCCAAGAAATGGGGGTCAATTAGATACTGGCTTTTAAGGGACTAAATGTAAAGTTTCAGCTTCCATTTTATCTTAAACTGCATGGTGGAAAGGAGAGCCCGTTAGCAAGTGAGAAGTCCCAGGGAAAGTCTGCAGCTGTTGGGTGCATCTGCAGTGTGACAGCACTGTAGACCAGAGCAGATGTTCTAGACCAGGTAGCTCGCCACTGGTCACAGGCCTGCACAGTGCTCACAGCTTTGACCGCTGCCCTTTGAATAGTTTGTCCTCCCCCTGGCGTCACAGGACACGGCAGCCTTATACATAGGTTAGAGTCGGAAATCAGATTGATACAGTGATCCCGCCCCTAAAAGTGCAGAACTTCTCCCACTGCATTGGAGTTTTCCAGGCAATGTTTCTTGGGTTTGTTAAATTTTGATTTTTTTAAATGTAGTTTGGGAAATGCTTGTTTGGAGTGTTAATGCCCTTTTCCCTAACTTTACCCCTTAGTCTCAAATAGTAATCAACTTATAAACTTAATTTTGTTTCTAATGTACTAGCATTTTAAATTTGTTTTGGCCAGTTGTCAGTAATTCCTTCATTTAAAAGCTGCAAGTTCTTCATCATCATCATGTGCCTTTCCTTTTATACTCACCACAGCCGTTGAGATTAAATTGTGTGTTAGCAAAACCAAGCCCCAATTCTCAGTCTTCTGTTAAGTAAAGACTGAGTGTTGGTATTTGGAAAAAACTCAGTCTGTGAGCAAAAAGATCATTGAAGTTTCATTAGAGTCCTCAGATCACTTCGAATTCACATGATTCTGCTATTTCTATATATAATTCAGTACATATTTTCAAACAGCAACCCTGTCAAACTAATCCATTTCATGCCCCTCCCCCAACCCAATGTAATCTAATTTTTAGGAAGCTACTTTTGAAGGATAGTTTTAATTTGCCTTCTTTAATTAAATCCTAAAAACAGATACATTTACATGATGAAATCAACATTTACCAAGAAAATTAGAGCAAATTGACTTTTAGGAAAAATTGTGAAAAGTGTTTTATTATAGGCAATAATGCATGGCTTTCAGGGAGATTAAAAAACCATTTTGACTCACAGCTTTTTCCAGTATACATGCCTGCAAGTGAACATGGCAGCTCGTATCTGTAATCCAGCAATTGGGAGGCTGAGGTGGCAGGATTCAAGAGTTCAGCTCATCCTCAGCTACATAGCAAACTAAGGGCCAGCCTCGGCTACATGAGACCTTGTCTCTAAGAAAAGAAAAATACATGTCTGTGAGCACATGCATTTTTCTCGTTTTGCCTTTCCCTCGATTCCTAGTCCCTTTCAGGCGTCTTTAAGGAGGGAGATACATGTGAGGCATTAATTGCATTGTCAAAAAGTGTCCAGGCAAGTCCTTTGACCTTAACCATAGCCCCTTGGCAAACTTTATGGCACACTACAGTCACCCTGGGAACTTGAGAAATAATCTTGATACCCAAGTCTTGCCCCGTGCCAATTGCTCGGACTGCAGTGTAAGGCAACATGGGAGCCACTGCTTAATGAGAGTACAGAACTGTGGCTGTCTACTTGGGGGAGCTTAGCTGCACCAGTTCTAAACATTGTTCTCTCCCTTTTCTGTAAACGCGGTTGTTGTGTGAACTGTCATGTAAATCTAAAATCTTAGTGGTCCTTCTCGGAACCAATTTTGTGTGTGATTTTAAAATCAGTCTGAGGGTAAAACGGAAGCACTGTAGAAGTATCCATCTTCAATGTCAGTAATGTTACAAAATCCAAATTTTTAAATTTAAAATATATAGAACTACTTCTAAAATTCAGATTTGCCTTCCCTCAAATATTTTGAGTTTTGTTTTAGCTGGTAAGGGCAGATGAAAAAAAAAAAAACCAACTCTGTTCCCTAGTTCACATCATGTGTGGCAAGCTTAGGAGTAATATAATGTCTAAAGGGTGTGTCTACTATTGATATTTCACTTCAGATATCTCCGTTACTACTGCTATGCTGTACTGTCAGCACTGCCTATTCCAGGACAGCCAGGCATTCAGTCACATCCACTAAGCTTTCTACTAATAATCATACAGAAGTGATTTTAAATGCTCTTATCCCGTATGCAGGACTTTCCACTGCTTACTGTAGGAGCTAATCATTTGTGGTGACTAAATGGATAATGAACTGTAAATCTTCTGCAGCCTGAGGTCTAACCAGAAATCCTTACTGTTTTAAACTGAAACCTATGTACAGATAGTACACCTTGCACAGGACAAAGATTCTGTAGAAGGACAGATGGCAAGAGTGGTGTGCAAACATTTGCACACGATCGTAATCACAAGAAGCACGCCTTCTCACAGCATGTTGTCCAGTTGTATACGAGTTCTTCATGGTACTTTTGTAAGATTTCAGGGCTTCTGGGAAGGTCAGCCCTGCTTAAAAATGATAAAATGAATTGCTTCAAATAATTTTCTTTTCCTTCCACAGTGTGACCTTAGCAATATATTACCACATAAAGAACAGGTGAGCTTCTTAAAACTTGTCTTACTATTCTACCTACCTCACATAATACCAAGTACAGTACTAAGATGTAACGTGGATATCAGACTTTGTAGAGTGCTTTTATTAAATATTGAAATTAATATTTTATTAAAATTTCTTGTTCTTAAGATCCTTTAAGAGCTCTCTAGTTATTGAAGGTTCTAAGAAGTATGGTTTTCTTATATCAATACTTGCTAGTTTATGTATATTAAAATTAAAAACATTGTAACAAGCACAGGACTTTTCAAGCTTGATTCCACTAATTTTTTAAGCTAATTTCTTGTTGTGTCTGCATGAATTGTAGGATGTTTAACAATGTTACAATTGTTCACTCCCATTGTGACAATCAAAAATCACACCAAAGAACCATCTTAACATATTTTTTTTTAAAAAAAAAACTTTCTGCATCAAAATATTGAGACAAGATACATCCTTTGCATTTTTACAAATCTCTTTAACATATAACTTAGTAGAAAGACAAGTATATTTTCATGTTTCTCTCTTCCTTTTCATCTGTTTTAAAGAAGCTAGAAGCCAGTCCTCATTCGCATACATTTAGGAAGAAGTTATTTTTAAAGCTTTCCGATTTCTTTGATGCTCTCTAGTGCCACACTAAAGCTCCATAAGAATGTTCCATTGTAATGGTTTATATTTCTCAGTGAAATTTTTTTTTTTCGCTTTTTCGAGACAGGGTTTCTCTGTAACTTTGGAGACTGTCCTGGAACTAGCTCTTGTAGACCAGGCTGGTCTTGAACTCACAGAGATCCTCCTGCCTCTGCCTCCCGAGGGCTGGGATTAAAGGCGTGCACCACCGCCCGGCTTCCCAGGTGAACTTTTACAGTATACTCATTGAGCTACATGTTGTATAGTAAGTGAATCTTTAACTAGCACATAGTTCCATGATGTGTCCTGTCTTAGGAAAAGTAATGATTCACCTTCGTGGGCACTGAAAAGCTGTCAGGCATATATCAGAACGCACAAGTTCCCAAAAACGTCTTCCAAAAGCTTGACAGCTTGAATTTTATCATGACAAATTATATTTTCCTCAAAGTGACAGGCGCACTACATTCATCTTTGAGAGTATTTGTAGTTATCCATAAAAAAGATTTTCTGTAATAAGGAGCTGGTTGAATTCACAGGTAAATCACAAACACTGCACGTGAAAAAGAAGGGTCAGGATTTAGTGACATTAGTTGTCCTGCTTCACCAAAGGCTGGAGAGCTCAGAGCAGGTTTATAAAACACAAGTCCAGTGGCAGTGGAGACAGTAACAAGGAGCGTGTGCGCACAGCACAGCAGTGAGGAACAGGCGGTGCTGGGGGGCTCTTCGTGAGCCCACAGCTGCACAGACACGGTGCTTAAATACTCGAGCTATTTGTCTGCTCAACCTTTAAGTAAAAAAAAAAAAAAAAAAGTGACGTTTTAAAATAAAAAGGGCATCTAAGTTTTAATTCATAACTATTTATAAGAAGCAAGTGCATAACTTAAAAATAAACATAATGCGGAGAACTAAAAAGAGGCAGAAACTTGTGTAATTTAAACTCCATTCATCTTCATCCAAGTTGTAAGTTGGTGACTGATTTGGTTATGGCACCACTAACTGGTGGAGATGCTGCAGTACTGAATAGAAAGAGGTTTGAAGATGGAATCCAGGAGGAATTATAAACTGTTTGTTAAAGGCTGGACTTCTGTTTCAGTCCCCTACGTTCACAGTTATTAACTAAGACACTAACAGCCTGTATTACCTGTTGAACTTTATAGAGATGCAAATAGATCCCTGGACATTTTTGATGAGAGATCACATCCACTCACAGTAAGTGCCTGTTTGCTTTGTTTGTAAGTTGTATGTTTCTTTCCTAGAGCTGTGTTCATTCCATGCCTGTTGTTGTCGTTCAGTTGATAAGTAAGAGAAAGTGGCCCCTAGGCTGGATGAGGAGCCTTGTTTCCTGACTCTGACCGAGAACAGCAGGCTGCTATGTCAAGTAGTGACCTAAGGGAAAACTGGATTGTCTCAGTATTCAAAATCCAGCTTCAACAGATCATCTTCAATAATATCAAACAGTATAAATGTTTGTAAATAAATTCAACAAATATGTACAATCTCTCAAGGAAATTAGGAAACTTTTAATCAGCTAAAATGGTGTAAGCCAGGTGTGATTTGGATATATCTGTAATCTCCATACCTTGAGGGCTGAAGCAGGACAGTGGTTGGGAGAATAGCCTGTGCAACATAGCAAGACCCTGACTTGAAAAAGAACCAAAATAATAAATCAGAAAGCAAACAAAGAACCTATAAAAACTTAAGAAATCACTTCCTCGGGCATATGTTGGCCACTCTTGATACTTAAGAGTGGCTGGTTATATGGACAATTCAGTGTTAAGAGCCTATGATTACAGGAAACTTTTAAAAAAATGGTTTTTTTTCTAAGTTAATTGTGGACAGGTATGACCTTTGTGACATGTTAAGATTAGTGAGGTTTCAGCATAAAAAGAATTGAAAAAGTTAAGGAGGAAAATAGAGGGTTATAAATTTTTTGAGCTTATGCTTATGTGTCTCTTTAATAAATTATGAATGGATGTGGATAATTATGGTACAGCCATATATTGCTTAACTGTGGGTACATCATATTTGTTACGTGATTTCGTTATTCTGCCAACATCATAGAATACTTATCTAAGATGGCTACAGTATTACTTGTTGATATTTTATGGAACTGATACTATATATTTGATCCATAATTGCCTGAAATGTCCTCATGCCAATTGACTGTAAGATTCACAATGTTTATATTGAAAAAAACTGAAAGTTACTGGGCATGATGAACACACACTCTTCAGTCTCCAAACTCAGGAGGAAGAGGCAGGTGGATCTCTGTAAATTCAAGGCCAGCCTGATCTACATAGTGAGTTCCAAGACAGTCAGGGCTACAAAGTGAACCCTGCCTCAAAACAAACATACCAACAAAAAATGAAATTAAAAAAACTAAGTCATACCCTAGACCAACAAGATGACTCTGCAGGTAAAAGCACTTGCTGCCAAGCCTGAGGACATGTGTCCCCAGTGTGGTGGAGGGAACGCTGTCCTCTAACCTCATGTGTGCACCATGGCTGTGCATGCCCACACACACATACACAAATATACATGATAAATGCTTAAAAAGCAGCCGTAGTACCCAATTGAAGTTATCTTGAAGAACATGTGGGCACAATGTAAAGACTGCTATTTTAAGAATACTTAAAATGTCCTTCAGTCAATATTTATATTGTTTTTCTTTCAGAGAGAGAAAGTTCCAGAGGAGTACTTTAAGCATGACCCTGAACACAAATTTATTTACAGATTTGTCCGTACACTTTTTAGCGCTGCACAGCTGACAGCGGAATGTGCAATAGTGACGTTGGTAAGCTATTCCTTTCTTATCAAGCTTTATTAGAAAGACTGTACCCAGATATGTTTAATCCCTGGAATTGAGAACTTTAATGAGAGGAACCTTCTCAAGGAATGCAAAGACACATATTTGAATTTAGCCTTCATTATGGTTTAAAAGTTGCCATTGCTTTTATTATCACAAAGCATTTTCTGATAAAGGCAGTAAGAGGGAGTTCCCTTCCATACCTCATTACACATACACAGGGATGTTATGGGGCAGTAACAGACTCAAGTGGTTCATGGAAACTGGTTCAGTGCAGTTTAGGGCACATGCCAGGCTGTATCCCCAAGTGCTTCTGTTGTGTGTTGTGATTGATCTCTGCCCATTCTCTGTTGTTGGATGATGGGTGCTCCTCCACCTCTGCTGCCTTGTGTCTGCCTATGAAGTTCCCAGGTGTGTAGCACCAGCTCTTAGAGAGACTTTGTGACCTCGCTGGGCTGCAGCTGTGGACTGACCTTTGTGTCCCCCATCCAGAAGGCCTAGAGATCATTTTGAATAATGGGTGCTTTTCAAGGGGTTGGAATTCTACTGCCCCAGAAGTAAATTCATAGTGAAAAGTCAAATGTATGGACCTGAGGAAAGAGTCCTTAGATTGGTTCCTACTGCTTTAACATCCAGTTGACTCTGAAGTGGAGTCCCGGTGGGCACCTCTGCCATGGAGGTAGGGAATGCAGGGTGGGTCCTTGTAAATAAGGAACTACCATTCCTGGAAGAGCAAAGTGACGCTGCCTGGTCCTTTAAATATGCAGGACTGCAGAATGAATTTGAGTCAGGGGTAAAGACTTTAAAGTATTTGTTGAAGTGCGGGGAATGTTTACAATAAAATGGATAGCCCTCACAGATCTACCATCAGTATTTGGGAGATGATTCTGTAAAGGAGGAGGCCAAGCACACCAGGAAGAAATCCAGGAATGAGTAATAGAAGTCAGGATAAGTATGTTCCCACAGTGGCAAATGCTATGAGGCAAAAGTGCACACCCTGGACAGCTGCTCTACACCATTATTGTAGCTCCTGAGCAGTGTAGAGAGCAGAAGGGACAAAAGTCTTGCCTTAAGAGTGTATATTCTAGGCAGGCGGTGGTAGTGCACACCTTTAATCCCAGCACTTGGGAAGCAGAGGCAGGTGGATCTCTGTGAGTGCCAAGACAGGCTCCAAAGCTACACAGAGAAACCCTATCTCGAAAAACAAAAAATAAAAATAGAGTGCATATTCTAATGAGGAAGATCACAGGTGTTTTTTGCAGTTTCAGATAGTTGTTGTATGCCATTAAAATTGAGCATGGTGAAGGGCTCCTAGGTGACCAGAGAGCTTTCTGTTCAGATAGAATGAGTAAAAGACCTCCTCAGAGAAGTGGCATTTGAACAATGGCCTAACTGCAAAGAGGAAGGCAAGGAGCTTATATTTGATAGGCTGGGAGCACTGCCAAAACTGATACAAGAACATTCTATGTGCTCAAGGAGAGCAGGATGGCCATGTGGTGGGCGTGCGGACTAAGGGAATCGGGAGAGGAGATGCCAGGAACAATTCCACAGGGAAACGATTCCAGGTTGACTAGTAACTTTTGGTAAGTCTTGAGCAGGGGGAACTGATCTTAATTTAGGAGGCTTTCCTAACTGTTTTTGGAGGGGTGGACTATAATTGGAGGCCAGAATAGAGGCCAGCAGAGTGTTAGGATGCATACAGGCAAGCATTGAAAAATGGCCCAGGATAGGAAGTCACCAGGTTTCCATTGAAGATAACAAGAACAAGTACTGCTTGCAGATTGGATAGGGTAACATAGTTTGGGCTTCTCCAACCAGACATTGGAGAGTTGGAGTGAAAACATGTTTGTAAGTGGAGGAGTGATGAGCTACTGTAGAACAGTGATAACAGCCAGAGGCACACCCAAGTGTGTGCACTAAGTAATGGGCTGGAGGTGAGCTGTTATGTGCATGGTCTGGGGGGCTTGAGAAGTAAGTGGTATCAGAGCAATCTAAACATTTTTGTTGAACTAGATCTCTGGCAGAGGGAAAGACTTCAAAAAAAGAAAGCCATTTGGGGGCAAGTGTTGTTCACAGTGGGATGGAGTCAAGCCATCACATAGAAGAGTTAGCTTCAGTTTGGGGAAAAGATCATCTTGTCTCCCACTGACACAGGAGGGCAAGTGTTCAACTGCATGATAGCACCTAACATACCTGTTGGGAAATAGCAGCCAAGGTGTGCAGTGCTCCATTGCTCCTTGAGTATCTCTGTGAAGAACGGGGAGCTCTGAGAAAGACTCATTCCGGGGATACTTGGCAGTGCCAAGTGTGTGGATGGGAAGGTAATCTCACTGAGAACATGCAGTGTTTGGTGGGCAACTTTCCAAAATCTGAGCCATTAGTCTAATGACCTTAAGACAGTGACTGACTCTTAAAAATACATTTGTTTCCCTTTGGAAACAAGTCCCTTTGGCACTTATATACCACTTATGGGGTTCCTTCTACATCAGAGCTCAGCACCTGGTCTCTGCCAACTGTAGGGTACAAATACTTGTCATTCTCCAAACAGATTGGCATTAGCATTTACACATTTACAGTGTTTTTACCATTGTCACTAATCTAAAGGTGATTTTTAAAGCAAATATGGGCTGAGCTTGGTGGCTCATGTATGTAATTGTTGCACTTGGGAGACTGAAGCAGAAGGATCAGAAGTTTAGAGCCAGTCTGAGCTACATAGTGATTCCCTGCCTCACAAAGCAAGGAAATGTTATATGCAAACACTGCCATATATACACACACACATACATATATATACACATACATATGCCATATATATATACGCGCTCACACATACATACATATGTATGTATGTATATATAGGTCTTAAGCATCTTTGATCCTAAAACCAATCTCCCTTGGATACCAAGGAACAACTGATGCCTTTCAGAGAGACTTTTGAAGTAGCAACCCCTAGCTTCCTCCACAGTCTTCACTAAACTCAAGTAACTTCACCCAGTTGGTTATAGCAAAGGCCTTAGATATGTTTAGGAACACTCATGAGAATGGCTCACAAACTTCTGGCCACTTTAAAAGTTCCAAGGATAAACTGGCAGCTCTGCTACCACCTTAAAGCCACGAGAATTGACAGATTACATAAAGAGAAAATGGCTTCTTGGAAGTGCTAGTGGAGAGGGAGAACTGAGGTGTAAAGGACCACCCTTGAGTGCAGGTGATTCCTTCTAAAGGCACGGTGCCTGTGGTGCTGTCTGCCCAGTGGCCACTGGGAGGCTCTCTTGTCCTCGGTCCACACAAGGGTTACTATGAACTGAAGACTGGCAGCTGTAAAACCATGTAAAATTACATGGGAGAGACTCGGGGTTACTGAACAACCCGAGTCTGCACTGGCCTGTTTGCTGCTCTGCAAGCATGAAGATTATAGCCCTCTTCAGGATGCCTGTTCCTAAGTGGCAGCGCTGCCTCGTAAAACACAGCAGAGGCCTGAACTGAATTGAAGACCAGTGCTCTACTTTTGCAGGTTTACTTGGAGAGACTCTTAACTTACGCTGAGATCGACATTTGTCCCACTAACTGGAAAAGGATTGTTTTGGGAGCCATTCTTCTTGCCTCTAAGGTTTGGGATGATCAGGCTGTGTGGAATGTGGACTACTGCCAGATCCTCAAGGACATTACAGTTGAGGACATGTGAGTTTGTAAGGTTTTGGTGAACTTCCTAACTGTTTTTCTAAATTTGTTCCCATAAAGTTTTACATAAAATTTAAAGGATGTTTTTAAAGGTTGTTTTAAACAGTCAGTGGAAACAGACATAAAATTATTCTTTCAGTCCAGCTGTATAACAGTCCATGTTTTCTTTCATTAACTGGTAGGGATTGATGTGGTATTTATAATGTGTTAGATAAACTGAGAGGTATTTTTCTTGTGACTTTGGTGACCTTTGCAAGGACAGCATAACACTTTTACTTTTTAAAATCCACTATTCTACTCCCCCTTTAAGGGGGACATGCCTAGCTTTTGAAATGTGTCTGTGAGTGTTCATGTCTTAGAGCCTCTGGACTTATACAAGGCTGTAGCTTTAGCCTGTTTTTCATTGTTTATTCACTAACGTTGGACCTACACTAACTTTTTTTTTTTTTAATCTGAGCATCTATAACAAACTATGAGGTACAGAAGTAAAAGTTTCAGGGATGCTCCTGCCACCTCTCCATGTGGAATGTTTGTTTTTAGAAACTGGTCTTGATGGGCTCGGAAGCTCCAGGATTCCTCTCAGGCAGGCAGTCCTAGAAGCAGCTCAGGGCCTTCACCAGAAAATGAGCACACTCGGCCCTTGTCCAGTCATAGCAGCCCACTGCAGACCCAAAATTGCTGAGCGCATGGCCTTAGTGATGGCCACTAGCCTGGTGCTGGAGTGCACCGTGGGCTTCCAGTCCAGTGCTCATGCAGTGAAGGGAAGGCTGTGGAGTCTGCAAGGTTTCCTACAAACTCTGACAGTGAGGCTGTCTCTGTGGGTAATACTTAAGACATAGTGATGCGGAAACTCCGTGATTATATTGACCACCACAGAAAGATTAAGATATACTGAGAGTAATAGAAGTTACCTATTCCTGTAGTTAGGACCATCACTTAGAATTACCAGAATGTTTATAACTCAAGTCACTAAGGAACCACTGCTGGCAGCAGCTGGTGAACATGGCCATGTTCTTTGTGGCAGTGGTAGGTATCTTACCAAGAGAGGTGACAACAAAATCTGAAACAGATGGACGCACTTTTGGAAGTCACCAAGTCACTGTGTCAGTGGTCTACAAACTGGTCCCTGGGAAAAAGCAAAATATGTACTATGAATGGCAGCTGAAAACATCTGAAACTGAAATAGCTGCCAGGAACTGTAACTGTAGTTGTAAGACCAGAAAAGATGCGGGCAAACATTTGGGCTTCCCCAGACGTGACCGCACCGCAGGGCCGCGCGGCTCGGGCGCTCTGTACTCACCATCTTCTCTGTGAGCAGAGAACCACCAGGAACTGTGCTCCCAACAGCCGCCTTTTGTTCACGGCCAAGAGCCGAAGACCATGACCACCAGGTTAATACACATTTGCCGTCTCCTGCTGCTGGCTTTTTGTAGTGCCTTTATTTTTTTTTAGTGTAAATTAAAAGCTAAAAATCAGTATCTATCAGATTTTCCTCACAACTTTCCACCATGTATGTGTCTTATTAGGATATATTTCTGTTTTAAAAAACAAGTTAACTAGGCAGCTGCTGCTCAGAAAATGTGCTGTGCCGGTAAATGGTGTGTATTCAGCCATGTAAGGGGAAAAAAACAACAAAAACCCAGAAGGTGCATATTCTGTTGGCATAATGCTTTTCTTCAGTGATGAAGCCTCTATTAATAGACATGTTAATCCCGTGAAGGACTGTATTTCCCCACAGTTAAGATGTATTAGTGAGGAAAGTATAAAAGGGAGAGTGAAGTACGTTTGTTCCTGTAGCAAATTAAGTCTTGATTACATGATTATCAAAACATTATCTGATTTACATTTCTATAGACTTATTGCCATATGAACAGGAAATTAATTTTGGAAGTCGATTGTTTAGCTTTAATTTTAACAAATGAGAAAACCTTATTTTTACCTACTTTCCGTATAGAATGAGACAGTGAAAAAAATTTAGAACCAAGAAAAAAATCTGTTCTAGGACAAGCCCCTGTTGAGTTTGCTTAAGTATTTATAATTTGTCTATAGTTTCTTCAGGGTTATGATTGGTGAAGTTTACTCTAATTTTGTGTTTTTTAAACCTTCAGCAAGGTCAGTGCGGTCACACGTGTCCCATTGTATTGAGCTCACCTCTCTGTGTGCACACACTGTCCTGGCTAGGGCAGCAAATGCTGAGCATCTTGGGGGTTTTATTCCCAGCACAGGAACCAGGTTTGTTGGTACAGTGTTCTACCAGATATAGTGTACTAAAGTGGGCTTAGTGTAGCCAAGACGTCTGTCTTTGATCTCTCTGCTTTCCAAAGTTTAAAATGAGTATCCTGGCTGTCATAGTGACAGTTTGTCACCTTAACGTAATGTTAAGGTGAGCAGAAACTTGCATTGTGCCCTTTGACATAGATAGCCTCATGTGCTGGGGCGGGGGAAGGGATTTCCTTTCCCATCCAGTGTGGCTTATTTATTTATTTATTTGAGATGAATCCTTGTTGCCTCAAGAGTTTTTCCCCCTCAGAGATAATAGCGTGGCTCTCGATGGATCCATTTGTTGCCGTGGTGATGTGCCCACTCCTTTTGTTGGCGCTTCTCTACTTCAATAAGCCCCTTCCTGTTATCAGCCCAGGGAAAATGTCTGCAAGTTCTTCAGAGCTAATAAACAGCATACATGATTCCTTTCATCTGCTCACTATAGCGGGCCTTGTGAGTGAGCATGGAATACGGGTCGTCCAGCTGCACTAATGGAACTCTGAAGAATGAGCCTGCCAGGCGGCAGCAGTGCCTGAGAGGAGGGCTGTAACCTTTCCCCTCCCAGACTCAGAGTGCCGGGATGCCGAAAGGACCACGGAGAGTCCTACTCTGTTAATCCAGCTGGGCAGCCTTCATGTGTTCCAAAACAAAATTTAGACCTATTCTAAAAGCTCTGACTGATAATTTGGAAGATAGCCCAGTTGACTAAAATTGTCCTGTGTGAGTTTTGCTGTGTTCCTCCTCCAGGAATGAGATGGAAAGGCATTTCTTGGAGCTACTCCAGTTCAATATTAACGTTCCTGCCAGTGTTTATGCCAAATACTACTTTGACCTTCGCTCCTTAGCAGATGACAACAACCTGAATTTTCTGTTTGCTCCTCTCAGCAAAGAAAGAGCACAGAACCTAGAGGTAAGGCTGCGAGCCACCCACCCAGCATCTCTGAAGGCAATGGGAAGCTTTTATTTAACACACTGAAGATGTTATTATCTCTTTGTCATCATAGTTCCCGGGCCTTTTATGGTTTCCATAAGTATCTACACTATATGGAGAGGTGGATCTTGCCTCCTGTGATCACACTTCAGTCTTGTAGTTATAATTGTCTCCCTATTGAAGCTCTGCATTCCCACATAATCATATGTGGGTAGCTTTTTGAAATTATATTCTTAATTATTCCTACCTACAAATCACAACTCTGCTGCATTTCACTCGGTTACAAATTGTCAGTAGAATATCATGAGTGTATTAGACAACATTAGCGGATTAAACAAGAGGCCTATGTTTAGGATGCACAATGCAGGTGTATTTCTCATACTGGATATCGTGTTTTTATAAAAGTGGTAACACGGACTAGGGAGATGATGGCTCAGAGACTTCTCGAGGGTGCATCCAAGTTCAGATATAAGTAACATGATATTGATGTAAAAAGCCTGTCTACATCTTTGAAAACTCAGTTTGCATGTGTGTGGTGTGTGCATGTGTGTGGTGGCCAGAGGCTGACATAGGTGTGTGTCTTCCTCAGTTCCTTTCCACCCACATCTTGAAATAGGGCATCTCATTGATGAGATAATCTCATTATCAGGTTGCTAGATGGCTCGCTGAGGCTCTGGCTTCCTCCTTTCACTATTTAGGAACACGGGAATTACAGGCGTGTAATTCCCACATGCTAAGGAATCCAAACGCCAGTTCTCATGCATGCTCAGCCAGCACTTTACCTTCAAAGCCGTCTCCCCAGCCCAAGGAACCCATTTTTAAGTAACTTAAGTTCTCTTTTTCCAGGCATTGAGTCATTACCCTGGAAAGATTAGGAAACTAACATGAAGTGGCATCCCCAAGGCATAGCACTGTAGCCCAGGTGCTGCATTTGTTTAGAATCTAAAGGACAGCTTAGTATACCAGTTCAGTCTCCATCCACTCCATGGAGGTAGTTTGTGTTACTTTTTTTGCTTTATTTTTCTTAAGGTTCTATTCTTTTTTTAAATCTCTGTGTTCTGTGTGATCACCTTTTCCAGGCCATTTCAAGATTGTGTGAAGACAAATACAAAGACTTGTGTAGAGCCGCTGTGAGAAGATCTTTAAGCGCTGATAATTTCATTGGTATTCGGCGCTCTAACGCCATCCTCTCCTAAGAGAGCCATGAGGAGTAAGAGCACCAGGGCTCCTCATTGACACAGACTGTAGAAAGAGCGCCTCTCCTGGCCAGAGACCAGCAGAGGGAACTCCAGCGAATGGAAAGAACTCAAAGTCTGGACAGTGAATGCTGACTCCATAGGAAAGAATGGGACCTTGTCAAAGCAACCACTCTCTGTCCTTTGTAATGTAAACAGTTACAAAAACCACTCCAAAGCAAAAGCTCTGACCACACACAGATATTGCTTACCATGTAGGCCAATGGCTCTGAAATAGGTGAGGTTTTAAATTGTTTCAACTTTTAGACTTTCGTTTGAGACAGGGTCTTATGTAGACTGGGCTGGCCTCAAACTCAATATATGACTGAGGCTGGCTTTGAACTCCTAATCTTCCTGCCTCTACCTCCCAAATGCTGGGATTCCCATGCCTGGCTCAGATTTTTAGACTTTAAAGACACTAACCATATAACTTTGGTTTTTCTTGTTTTTCTTGCTCCCTACCCCCGCCCAACTGCTGCATATGCTGTTAGAATTGATTCAGTGTTACCATTAAAACATGAGACTTCTTCCCATTTGTGGTGCTGGGAATCAAACTGAGGACTTAGCATGTTGGTGAGCCCTTGACCACTGAGCTACACTCCTCAGCCCCAAGCATGGGATACTTAACACTCATGAAACCACCTAGGAGCAGAATGTAGCATCATTAGGTATTAAAAGTTCTCCTACTGTGTCATCAAAGCTGCTAGTCATTAGTGGCAATCAGTTTAAATTACCTGGGTAACAGTCACCACTCGTATTCCTTGCAAGCACTGCTCACTAGCATTTTGTTATGTTTGGAGCCATGAAGAGAAGTTATCAGTTGTTGATTGCGTCTGTTGGGTCCACGCGGCATTTTCTGTAAACTATTAATGGTGCTTCTCATTATCTGATGGTTTTCCTCATGTTAACAAGTGTATTAAAAGATATTTTCATAATGCCAAACAACATAGTGGTCCAGTGATCATGAGCAGATACCTAAAAAAAGACAAGGTGTCCCCAAAATTAGTGATGCTTTTTTACACTTAGTGTTCTGTGCCTGGGCTCTCTTGGGACATTGCAGCAGATATAGAAAAGCCACAAGCTTTCACAAAAACATCATTTGAAAGTTTTAATTTTACCAATTTGAAATAATTAAGCTTCTAATTATTGTTTCCCTTGGCAATTGCAAACTATGAACCAAAAAATTAAAACTAAAGGCTTGATATTCCAAATTTGGGGGATTAAATTGAAAAAAAAGGTAAAGTAAAACTTTTAAATAATGTTTCATTATTTTGTAGTGTTTATAACTCTACACTATCAGAGTTTAAACCTGCACTGAGATTTGGGGCTCCTGTGTAATTCCATGGAAGTATTCCTTCTCTCAAGTAGTTCTGTGCCAGGCTGGGCTCTAACTGCTTTCATCACCTAAGTGTCTTTACTTTCAGTTAAGGGAGGTTATGAAGAACACTGTTAACTCACATAGAATACATGAAAAGGAATCAGATCCCCAGACAGCAGATGAAATGAGCAATTAAAAAAAAAACCACCTCTGTCCTGCACGTTTGCTTGCCTGGGTGCAGTGTCTTCTGAACTGCACAGGAGCCCCGAGCAAAGCTTTAAAGGCGGGGGAGGAAATGGTTAGGAAAACGATGGCAGCAGCGCCTAAATTTGAAATAACAAAATATTTGTTTTTTCAACCCCACACATTCTATTCTCATGTGTAACCTTGGAAATCTTACCTGCGAGCAAGACCTCTGTGGGCCAGAATACTTCCTCTTGTGGCTGCAGCGCTTCACATGCGCCCAGTGCTGCCGGGTTCTTCATATGGAAAGGACAGACATAAATGTTAAGGAAAGATGTATGAAATATTACAATCTACCACCTCAAAAAACATTGTTTATGGAGTTCAGAGCATAGAGATTCAAGTATTGATTGCAGTTTTATTTTGAAAAGAATGCTACAACTTAATGTGGTTTTTCTTTCTCATGTTTATATTAAAAGAGAAGCTAATAAATTCTATTTTAATTAAAATATGGCTAGTGTTGTTTGTACCACTTCTCTGTCCACAGGGCATTATATATCTCTAGAACTTGTGTTTTTTACCTTAGTCTGAAAACTTTTACATAGTTTCCAATTGACCAAGCTGCTATGATGCATGGTCTAGTTCGGGACTAGTGGTAGTCTTTGCTTAGACTATTTTCTGCCTGAAGATATTATACCAGGAGTCTATCTAGCCATGGTACTTAGTGACATAGTGCAGTGATGGCACATTTGAATAGTTGATCGTGGTGAATCAGGAAGGATCCCGGTAGAAGATGTGATTATAGGTATACACCAAAGAGAAAGTAGTAGTTAGAATAGTGTCAGATTAGAACATGTTCCACAGGGAATAAAACAAGAATGGGAATTTGGATTGAGGTTACTTAACATTTGCTGTATGTTTCAAGTTTGCATTTCATGTGGGAATAAACCCAATCAACCTAAGGGTTTTGTTTTTGTTTTTGTTTTGAACAGGGACTGTTATCCTTGGCAGGTCTGGAAATGTTGAACAGCCCTGCCTCTGCTCATTGGTGAGGGTCCTGACATAAACGATTGTTATTAAATCCTGCTGTGCTGCACATATATTTACTTTTACTTTTCAGTACTTGAAGTCAGATCTTTCAATGATGGACTCCTTTGTTCTTGACATAGGATAACTGAACTGACAATCTTAGGAAGGGAAAATCTGTCATAAATAACATAAGCCATGCGGTGGTGGCACATGCCTTTAATCCCAGCACCCAGGATGCAAAGGCAGGCCGTGGATCTCTGTGAGTCTGAGGCCAGCATGGTTAAACAGAGAAACCCTATCTTGGAAAAAAAAAACACACACACACACACACATAAGAATTTGTATCTTGCAGCCAGAGAGATGGCACCGTGAGAGCCTCTATTGCTCTTGGCAGAGGACCTGAGTTCGAGTCCCAACATCTGTATCAGGTACCTAATGGCTGTCTGTAACTACAGCTCTCAATAGGTCTGACATGATCCTGACCTCAGGCGCAAGCATATGTATACAAGTTAATACTTTTTTAAAGGACTTGAATCATCTGTGTAGAAATGCTGACCGCATGGGTGTTCAGATGTTGTAACAGTGATCTGAGAAAGGGATTGTGTCTGATAGTTAGGCACCATGAATATCACCGGGAATTGTTTTTCCCTCTTTGACCTTGATACTAGAATATGAGTGGGGAATTAGATCAACTGAGAATGTAAATGTCACTGAAAGTGGGTAGGGTCTCCTGACAGACAAGGCATGAAAACCAAATCACCGGTAGGGTGCTAACTAGCATCTTCTCAGGGCTCTGGACTCTGCCTGGACTCATCCATTCCACATTTGTGTTTTAGAAGATTGGTGGGGATGGTCGTCTTTCTAGTTCTTATTCTTAGCCTCTAATAATTTAGACTTCAACTATTTAAAATTTGTATTTATTTTTGAGACAAGGTCTCACTATGTAGGCTTCACTGGCCTGGCACTTGCTCTGTAGATGAGGCTGGCTTTCAACTCAGAGATCCTCCTGCCTCTGCCTCTACCTCTGCCTCTGCCTCTGCCTCCAGAGTGCTGAGATGAAAGGTGTGCACTACACTGACCTCAGAGTTTTAACTAGTGTATGATAATTGCACTATACAGAAAAGATAGATCTGAAGTTCATGTTTGATCCCAGTAAAACTATCTCTCTGGCAGGCTGAAAAGTGGTTGCTTAGTAATTCCCTCTGTTTATGATTAGTTTTCTTTGACTGCATCAGATTCTAAACCCAGCCCACCCTTTCTCATTTCCTGTTTTTTTAAATTCAACAACACAGAGCTTTGATTTTATGACAGCTCAGCTTGGTTTAGTTTCTTATATCCCTAAATACAGTATTCCCTGGTTCAAAGATGTCGTCAGTATTAACAACACAGGTATCAGGTTAGACTGTTTTCATAAGCTAAGCTTTGCAGGCTAACTAAAACCTTTCACAACTCAGTCTTTACTCCAGCCAGGTTTGCCTGCCTGGTCCTTCACGCAGAAGCTGCATTCTTAAGATAGTACTATTTGGAAAGAAACACTCAGCAGAGAAATATCCCAAGGTAAAGTGCTAGCTTCTATGCAAACTGTGTGCCTAGTTCAGGTCAACAAGTCCAGCATAAGATCACCTCCAATCTGACAGCCACTGTGGCAGCAAATGCCAGAAGGGACAGAATAGGGTAGCTTCCCTAGTGTTTAGGAGCAACCTTGGTTTTTTGGGCTCTTTTCACTCAACCGTTTAAAGTGGATTTGCCAGAAAGAGAACATGTACTTGCTATGTGATAAACGTTAGCAATTCCACCTTGTGGGTTGAGCTCCTCAGGGTGCAGGAAGGAATGTGTATAGATGAGGGATCCTGACTCCAGTGAAAAGTTAACATTCTTTTAAAAGGAATGTCTTTAATAAAATGTTCTTAAAACACCTAGCCTTACAACTGTTGTAAAAACTGCAGTTTCAGTGTGACCAAGGAAATTCATTTGTATTCCCAGAACCTAAAAGTCTCAGCAAGATACCAAATAATGTATTTCTGAGACCCTCAAAGGATACCCAGATAAATATGCCTTAAAAAAAACCCTGCTGCTCCATTTCCTTACCCTTCAAGTCTATAGACCACCTGAAGTTCAAATGGTTATTCTCTAGTAGAACTAATCCCTCCAAGGACTGAGCTGCTTTATGCCCCCCCCACCACCGCACCCCTCCACCTTTCCTGGCTCAAGCCCCTGAGGGCCTGCTGCAGTAGACACCACAGCTTTGTCACCTGTGATCTTTCTGGCGAATGTCCAAAATGGCACGCCTCACGCTGGCTACCATAAAAGGCCTCCATTGGCGCCAGGTTCAAGGAAATGCAGACTTTCTGTGGCTTACAGGATAACTGGCTACTTAGCTCACCTGTGCCAGCCCACCCACATTCCCAGAGCGGTCACTTCCAACTCAACAGTGCTTGGCAAATCCATGACTTAATTTAGTGCATTTAAATATCCCACTGTTTCTTCCTCGGGTCACCAGACCAGCTCTCGTCAGATGAAAACCCATGAACAGTGAGCCTTCTCTAAATGTAATACTACAGTATCTTAAACTCTGGGTCCCAGAACATTAGTATGAAATCTGATGGAGTAAGACTTTCTAGTTGTAACATGTACCATGGTTAAGACATTAACACATGCTTGATCCCATCAATTCAGGCAGAGGCAGGTGGATCTCTGAGTTTAGGCCAGCCTATGGTCTACATAGTTTCAGGATAGCTGTCACTACATAGAGAGACCCTGTCTCAACAAACAAACAAAAAAACAACAAAAGATTAGAAGTAAGAGTAAGGAACAAACAAGGACTCCTAATTATACATGCAATTTTTTAAATGAGTAATCCTAGATTTACATAAAATTACTCCCAAATTTAAATATCTTTATAAAAAACAAAACCCAGCGAAGGTCCCAGGGCTGGAGCTGAGACTGGAATGCATTTCCCAGGAAAGCCCCAATTGATTATTATGCAGACCCTGTGAAAGCTGGCCTCTCGGGTCCTCTCCATTCCACACCGGGAGGAGCTGCAGACTCCCAGCTTTACCTGATTTAACCTTTTAAATCTTCTGAACCCCCAAACGTAACTATTCTTCTCTTTCATAAATGAGAAATCTGAAATGCAGGTTAAGTGTCCTGGATCAGGGACTATAAGAAGTGGAGCTGGGATCCAAACCAACGGTCAGCCTCAGTACATACACACAACCAGTCTCCCTCTAAGCATGGCTTCCATCTTGACAAATTGAAGAACTCTGTAAATTGAGTCATAAAAAAATAGAAGTGGTATTATTGTCAATGATTTTGGAAGCCCACATTTTCTCCAGCCGTATAAGGACCCTCTGCTCCAGTTTCTGACTCTTCTTTCCCCCGTTCTCCACGGGGTGAAGCTGAGCCAAGAGAGAACAAGGTGGAGACAGAGTCCCGTAGGTGGGAACTGCAGTTGCTCTTCGGCAGGATGCTGCTGTTCTCAGACTGCCTCTGCCTGACATACACTGAAGTCCACTGCAATCATATTGAACCGACGTGCAGAAGTTAGTCCAGTAATAAGCCTTCTGATGCCCAGTCACATTATCTGGGAACATAGAAGAGAGCTGGGTATCATTCTCAATAAATTTTGGTCCTCTCAGCTCCTGATTTGATTTCGACACCTGCCCCTCAACCAGACACAGAGCATGCAGCTTATCAAATAGGACAATGAACACATGTCTATAAAATAGAACACAGTCAAATGACGTCTCTGATCTCCCATGGAGCTCCCTTCATCAAATGGATAATGAAGCAAACTGCAGTACCGGCAGGAGAAATCCAGGAAGCACAGGTGAGGAAAATGTGTTCGTTCCTCTTGTGACTGGAATACGATGAAAATTCAGTTGCTTATACTCTAAGGAAATCTGAGACATCTGGTGATCAGGTTAGATTCTGCATCTGAGACACGCTTAGAAACCAATGCATTTCTTGATAAATAGGAGAAAAAGACGCGACAGCATTATTGCATTTTCTTCACCATTGCTTTAATGCATTTTAAAAAGTTAACTACATGAATTGGGAACAAAGAAACAAAAATAGACATTTCTTTGTTTTTCATAAATAACTAATCTCCATATTTGATAAAAATCTTAAACCATTATTTTACCTTCCCACAAATATAATACAAAAAATTTCCAAAATAATAAGGTCAACAAGTTAAGAATCTTGAGACTAACATAACCACACACAATTGCTGTTGTACTGACTTCCAGGCACAAAACAAACCTCTTTTCAAGATACTCTGGGTTTCCTTTTGCTAATGTTATGGATTCAGAATTATAACCATTGCCAGTCATAATCTATAGGTTCAAGCTGATTGTCTACAAATAAGATATTGCTGGCTCTGATTTGTGAATGCTGGGTTTGGCGTGACAGCAATGATTCTTACTGCATGGGATAGGCACTATACATGTATGCAAATCATACACAGCACTGAATGCCCTGTACTCCAACTACTGACTCAGTATGTGCCTCATTTGGCTCAGTAATAAATTCACCTGCACCAACCCGTATCAAAAGTCACTAAATCTCTCTCTCTCTCTCTCATATATATATATGTATATGTATATAATATATATTACGTATATACACACCCACAAAACATACATACTATACATAGTTTGTAACAACGTAAATTAATATTGTCTTAAAATGATGTACCACAGACAGACATTATCCTGGATGGAGGAAAAAAAAATCCTGCAATTGTCATCAAGCTACCAAAAGCTGCTGAGAGTTTGAATCGGGTTAGTTACAACCTGCCTACCCTTCTTTCATGTCTTGAGAGTTTTTCTTTCTAAGCTGTCCTCTCCAGCCCAGGCTGTTTCTTTCCCAGGATCACTTGATTGGACTTCGGAGACAAGAAAGAGCACAGAGAGGCAGCAGGCAATTCTTAGCCACCGGCCCTCACACCTGCCTAGGTTTGTGATGTGCTCGGTCCTGTCTGCCACGTCCGGTGTTGGAAAGCACTCATTCAAAGCTTTGTCCTCACTACCCCCCTTGGTCTTTCTGCAGAGCACAAAAGTGAAAGCGGCTTTCTTAGCAGGGGCAGCAGTTCATTAAAATAGACAACTGTGCTTCCTAGCTCTGGGGTTCCCATTCTACACTCCCAGTGCAGGTCACGGATGCTGTTATTAAGGTTCGGTGTATGATCCAGGACCTGTTCTCCTGGCAGCCGGTGTCAAGATTAGTGGTGCCCTGGCCCAGGAGGGAACAGCCTAATGAATAACCAACTCAGAACAAGTGCCATCGGCACATTATTTAAGCTGTACATGCGCACAATTACACACACGGCATGCACACAGGCCCTGGTCACTGGCAGTGGTCACATGAAAATATGACAAAAGGGTTGCAAGAATAAGCCAATAAGGCACCAAGAAAAATGATTTTCATCCAATTTAGACAACTTCAATATGTGAGGAGGGAAATAATATAAAATTAAATAATAAAAAAAAACCAAACCTTCCTAACATTTGGCCACTGGAGTCACTAAGGCCCCATGTCTTTGACTACCTAAATCCTCATCCTCTAACCTGTGCAACGCTAAGAGGTGAGCCAGGTGGCCAGAGCAGCGCTGAGTCCTCGCCAGCAGCACAAGCTGGCAGAGCAGAAGGTGCTGAGGTAGCCCACAGCTCTACACGTCATTTCATTCACTGTTACCACAACAGAAATGCGAAGGAGAGAAAAATGTGTGGTGGAAAGGGGGGGAGTGACCATTCATACACACGGCTTCCCTCTCCCCTCCACTTGGGCTGGTCAGAGGCTGGTGTCCGTAAGGGAAGCAGGTGGGCTCTCTTTGTCTCCTTAGGGTAGAGGAGAAGAAAGGAGAGCAAAGATGAGAAGAAACAAAAGAGACTTCTGAGGCTTCCAAACCTCCACAGGCCACGGCCTTGGCATCGCGTCTGTTTCAGCTTTCTTATTTTCAAAGGGAATTAATTGTTCTTTTTTTCACTTTGGCATGTTGCTAAGATTAAAAAAAAAACCCACCATTTTTAAACGAATTAAATCATTTTCATCCACTTCATCCCACAACTTTTAGATACACTGTATGTCTTTTCTAGATTCTTCCACAATTCTCTTTGTGAAGAGGAAACAACCCAAACTAGGCACAGCTGACTGGGGCAGCAGATCCGGGAAGATGCACTAAATAAGCCAAGAGGTTAAGGTGGTAGATAAGCAGGGCCTCATTTGAAAAACAGGAGAAGACAGGGAGCCTATTGAGCTTCCCGGAAGAGGTTTCTGAATAAATAGAGTAAGACAATCCCAGAGTTCTACAGCTAGGGGTAGAGATTTTGTGGAAGCCACTGAAGTTTTCATTTTGATTCAAATCAGTAAGGGTACTGCAGCTTACAAACGTGAACGGCTTCAGAGCAACCTAAAGATTTAGTCTTAGGCATTTAAATTCCCAGTGGGAACTATGCATTTCTCCGCTCAGTACCTGGGAGGTAAAGCTGACTCAGGCTTAATTCCCGCACCCCACCCCCAGCTGCTGCAAATGAAAACCGGGATGCCTAGACTCCAGCTGTTTTTTAGGAAAGCTTTGTGACGTTTTAATTGCTTGGCCATTTTCGCTCCCTAAGTTTAGTTCCCACTCTGTCTTGGTCACTGGCACTTGCTGGCTGATGCACGGCACTTTTCCCCCCAGTAATGGCCTCACACTCTTGGTGAATGAATGGTTAAACAGATTAGGAAAGCAAACAGACTTTTCTAATAGCAGAGAAACTGTGTGTGAGGGGGTGTCCATCACTACACAGGCTTTCATAGACGAGGAGGCAAAGAAAGCGGGGCGGGGAGCGGGGTCCCTCCGGCAGTAGTATTATTACACTGTCCCATTCTGCAAAGCGGATCTACAAGTTCTGGATCTTGTTTGCTTTCCGGAGGCTACCAGAGGACAGCGCTGCTGTTTTGGGGCTATCTGGCTTTAAACTAGCCCCGAGTTCAGGGACACTTGTTTTCCTTCCTCCAAGCCAATGTTTGTTCCCAGGTAACGAGCCTCGCTCCCAAACTGCAGCACTTCATTGGAGGGTGGGCGTGGCTTCTAATCACCGCACTCCAGGGGGAGGAATAAGAAAAGCAAGAAAGACTGTTTAACATGATAAAGGAGGTGGGGTGGGAGGAGCAGAGAAGCAGCACTGGGAATTTACTTTAATTACTGGAAGCATATCCGTTTTTTGTCCTTTAATCTAAAAGAGAGCCCCCTTTAGCAAGGATTCCTAAGTACTTCCAGAAGAAGGGAGTGGGTTTACTTTTACAGAAATGTGTAGCACAAGTTTCTTTTCTTTAAAAATACTAATAAGGGATCCCTGGAGCTTATTACAAAGCACCCACTCCCTCTCCGGCTCAGAGTTCAGAATTCACATCCAATCCTCAGGCTCTCCCTATGGCAATGTCTGTGTGTCCAGCTCTAGAACACCACCTCTAACATACTCAAGACAGGAAGGACACTGGCTCCAGCAGGAATGAGAAAGGCTGCAGCCAGGTGGGAAAGAGTCCAATGCTTGCTGAGCAAGGTTAAGGAGGATCACAAAATCTCCAGCTCCCTTGTCACTTGGGGATGGTCCTAAACACATTATGATCCATTTCGGGGGAGGAGAGCAGAGGGCCTCTGGCCTCTAAGTGTCCTGGACATTCTAAGCAGTGTAAGGAAAAAACTAGCTTAAAAAAAAAAAGGCACTCCACACCTTCCCAGTCACAGCAGCCTTTCACTATACATAAAAAAGACACACGTATAGGAAATATATTTTCCTAATTTAGACCACACAGTCCAAAGAAACCTGAACTAAGGGTAACCTCATTACAATGCCCGCTTGAGGACTGTGATGTCCTCAAAGCAAAGGTTAATTTTGTTGCCAAAATGCAACAAAGTTAAAAATTAAAATACATATAAATTAAAAACTGGATTCTTCTAAAGAAGGCAATAAGAAATACAAACTAGAATACACTGCACGTGAGCTGAGCCCCCTGGTAGAAGACTGGAGACAGGTACTCTCTAGAAACCGATCCCTTGCCCTCTCCAAGCCCCTCACGAAGGGGGTACCAGCACCAAGAAGGTAAACGGAAGTGACCTTCACAAAGTTACCAAGCAAAACAAGCCCCTCCTTCAACTCTAGCACTGTCCCTGGGCCTACAGGCCTCCTAGACGTGCGACAGGGACACTTGCTTGTGGTATGCGGCAGCGGCGGGGCCGGGCGGCCCGGTCCTGCCGGTGAGCGCGGCGCTGGCCTCCGCATAGTCCCCTGCGGCCACAGCGCCGCCACTCTTGTGGCCCCGCCCTGAGCTGCAGCAGCAGCGGCTGGTGAAACGCCGCCAAGACTCCAGGGTCTTGCCGGACCAGATCCAGACTCCCGATGTGATGCCCACCACCAGGCACATGAAGTATTTGAGCATGAGCACCCAGTACTCGGGTTTGGCGCGCGGCTGGCCAGAGTCGGGTCCTGGACACGTGCAGGTGAGGGCAGCCTCCCAGCTTTCCCGGTAGTGCTGCTCATACAGGTAGCAGGCCACCACAATGCTGGCTGGCACCGTGTAGAGCAAAGTGAAGATGCCAATGCGGATCATGAGCTTCTCCAGCTTGTCTGTCTTAGTGCCACCCTGCTTGATGACACTCCGAATGCGGAAGAGAGACACGAAGCCCGCCAGAAGGAAGAGCGTGCCCACCAGCAGGTAGAGCACCAGTGGGCCCAAAACGAAGCCACGCAGCGAGTTCAGGTTTTGGTTGCCCACATAGCAGATGCCGGCCACCGGGTCCCCGTCCACGGAGCTTAGTGCCAACGCTGTAATGGACTTGACACTGGGGATGAGCCAGGCAGCAAGATGGAAATACTGGGCATAGCCTGCGATGGCTTCGTTGCCCCACTTCATGCCAGCAGCCAAGAACCAGGTGAGCGACAGGATGACCCACCAGATGGAGCTGGCCATGCCAAAGAAGTAGACTAGGAGGAAGACGACCGTGCACAGTGCAGGGCCAGTAGTCTCATAGTGGATGTGGCTGTGCTCGCGGCTGCAGGCGACGCTAGCATGGCCCACGACCAGGCGCACCAGGAACCCCAGCGACACACACAGGTAGCACGCAGATAAGAAGATGATGGGGCGCTCAGGGTAGCGGAATCGTTCCATGTCGATGAGGAAGGTGGCAACGGTGGTGGATGTGGAGATAAAGCACAGCACAGACCACAGGCCAATCCAGAAGGTGGCGAACGTGCGCTCATCGGGGCTGAATGACGGCTGGTAGCAGGGCACTGCACAGTTGGGCACCTGGCCGGTACGCACCTTGTTGTAGAGAGGGTGTGACTCCTTCAGGATGGGCACGAAGGGCTCACGGCAAGTGCACACAGATGGACCTCCCGAGGGGCACTCACCCCCGGAAGATGGCGCTCCTGGTGGGCCTGGGAGGGTGGGCTTGGCTGGGAAGGACTTAGGGGACGTGGTGGTGGCCTCGCTTCGGTTATAATCCATGCACAGAACCTCGGCGTCGCCGCCCAGCACTGGGAGACGGTCGCAACTCATGCGCTCCGGCCAAGCGAAGCCGTACTGGCGCATGAGCGGCGAGCAACCGGCCTTGGCACGCTCGCACACGGAGCGGCACGGTGGCAGCGGCTTGTGGTAGTCGGGCAAGCAGATGGGTGTGTACATGGAGCACAGGAAGAAGCGCAGGTCCGGCGAGCAGTGGATCTCCACCAGCGGCCAGAATTGGTGCACCTCCAGGCCTGCCTCGTCCTGCGTGTCGTGGTTGAACTGGTTGGGCATGTGCGTCAGGTTGTAGCCGATGCCGCGGCACATGGGCACCGTGATTTCCTGGCACACTGGGGCCTTGGAGGCGGCCGCTGCCCGGCCCACAAGCTGCGCTAGCAGCAGCAGGAGCAACGAAGACGACGCGGACGGCGCGGACGGGTCGGACCGGGCCATCGCCCCCTTCTTCCCCTTGCCTCCCGGTGCCCGTGAGGGTCGGCGCTGACCGACGAATCCGCGGCCGGGGCTTCCCTCTCCGGGATCTTGAGTGTGACGCCCGGGCTGGCAACCTGTTGGTTTCTTTTTCTCTTAAAGAAATCCGTGCAAAGAGATTCTGCTTCGGGAAGGCGCTGCCTCCGCCGGCAGCGCTCCACGCCAGATAGCGCTGGAGAGACTATTAGGGCTCCGATTCCAAGGACACAACTCTTAAAAGAGAGGGTAGGGGAAGAAAAATCGCAACCACTCCCTCTTAGAGGAGCGCCAACCACTCGGTCTTCGTACCCGGTCTCCAATCTCTAGATTAACTCCTTTCCACCCCTCCACCTCCTGGAACCAAACTTAAGACTCCCCCCACTCCACTCCCCGCTCCTGCCTCCCTTTCCTGGCCCGACCCTGCAGGCTATGCCTGTGGCCAGAGAGTTCAGTCCCGGAGAAAGGGGCAGAGGAACCGGGAGAACTGGGATTAGGGGGAAGACGCGGGCTCTCACCTCCAAGAATCCTGCTGGGCGGCAGACGTCTGCAGCCAGCCGGGCTCCTTCGTCCCGCGACTCCGAATCCGGCCAGAGCTGGAAAAGTTTAACGACAAGCTAGGTACCTGTGGCGGCGACACATGGCAGCAGGTGGGGGACGTTTCAGAGAGCAGGGAGCCCCTCGACCACGGTTGGCGCGGGCCGGTCAGTTGCCTTCTCTTCTTTCGGGGCCCCCGGCATGATTCGAGCAGAGCAGGGCAAGGACAGGCCGTGCCTTCCACCGGTGTCCCGGGGCCCGGACGAAGGGTAAGGGCGCCGAGCAGTACTTGGGCTTGAAGGAGGAGGGGTGCGGAGGCCAGAGGGGATCCCGCCACCTCACTGCACAGCGAGCTGCCGGCACTGGCCCGGCCGGGACTGCATGGTCCGCGCCCTCCGCCGCGTCCCGCCAGCCGCTCGCCGCCTCCCCTGCAGGGGGCTCCGCGCTCC